AGAATTGAGAATTTGAGAATTATTGCCTCCTGCAATGATCAGGTCCAGAACTGGTGTGCACAGAGCCCACAGCTCTTGAGGAGTTGTGCTGCTGCTCCTGGGCTCAGAGCATTCAATGCCCCATCTTATTAGACATTTTTCTGTAAAAATTCCCCCAAAATAAGCCCTGCCCTATGCCCAGAGATTTGTTACCACTTGATCAAACCCCTTCTGACACTTCTCAGTAATTCTCATTCTGACTTCTCTTTCTCCAACCTTTGTTCCCATCAAATCCTGGGACTTGCAAGATGTTCAAATCAGAAACCATGGAGGTCCTGCTCTGCTTTTCCAAACAATATCTGCAGTCAGGAAAATATTGTTAGATGAGAGGCATTTAGTCAAGACCCTTGGGAGGGTCCTGGCACGAGGCTGGGTATTAAAATATCCAGGCTGTGCCCTTTTCCCACTGCCTGTTTACACCTCGGACAGCAAAGACAAACACAGCTATTGGCTGTCTAACTTCTGATATTTCCTGGAGAGCTTCCCAGTTTCAAACCTCCAGAGGAACAAAAAAGTTCCTTGCAGTTACCTCTGCTAATGGAAGACTTGGCACTGGGAGGATAAAACATTGATTTCTAAAATACATTTTATTTGAGACCCTCCCTGACCCCCTGTGTGACTCCAGGCCACACAAAAACAGTTCCCAGCTCATTTTGATCTTTACTATAAAAAACAACGTTTGTTAAAGATAATTCCAGTGGTGGCAGCCAGAAACCTCCCAGCCCCTGGTGTTCACCAGCTCATTTTTATGGCCTCACTTTGTGGAGGCTCCAGACAGGTGTCCTCTCTAAGCAAGGACCTGGAATGCCCTTGACTCAAGACAGAACACTTCAATTCCTTGGTTTTGTTTTAGTTAAACCTCCTCCTCCATGCTCAGCTGAGTGCATGTTCTGAATGTGATGCAAGACATCAAAATGTGATGCAAGACATCAAAATGTGATGCAAGACATCCAAAAGTTCATTTTTGTGGGGCAGCTCTTAATGTAGGGAACTTCCATGTGCACAGACTGCTCTGATAAAAGCAGATGCAGCCTCACAGAGGCGTGTGGGGACCTGAGCTCCCCATGGGGCTGGGCACAAACACCAACAGGAGCTGCCCCTCTGCACCCCCTGCTCTATTTCCAGAGCCTGGGTGTCTCCCTTGCACAGCTGCCATCAGAGCACACTGTTAATTTGCAGGAGCTGGAGCCAGGCTCAAAAACTCCATTAATTAAGTGTTGGCGGAGGTGTTTGGAAAGATGTTCCCATAAATATAGTGCTTTAAAGTGTTTCCCTAGAAACTGAGAAAAGAGTTGAACAATATGAAAAACACCCAGGCTGTGACTCCCCCGTGGAGCAGGGCTTGGGGTGGAGAGAGCATTTAGGAAAGAGTACTTCCCCCCAAAAGAGAACTTTTCCCCCAACTTTCCCAATTTAGGAAAGAGAACTTTTCCCCACAAATGCCAAGCATTTCCAGTAGCCAAAATACCCTACTTTTCCAGTAGTTCTTTTTGGCTACTGGAAACGTTTGGCTGGTAGCACAAAATGCAAAAGTGAATTTTTATCATTCCTTGCTGCCTGTGCCCTCCTGCCTTGCCCTGGTGCTGTTGGCAGGTGGGGAATGCTCTGTGGATGCAGGTTCAGGGATGCCCCAGGTGTTTGTGTGCATCCCTCCCAAAGCGTCCCTGCTGTGCCCACCCACCTCAGCACCTCCAGGCACACAGAGGATAAACCTGGCAAACCCCACAGCCTCTTTCAGCTGGCTGCTTATAGGATTTCATGGAATCACTGAGGTGGGAAAGCCCTCCCAGAGCACTGAGTCCCAGCTGCGTCCTGTCCCCACCTTGTCCCCAGCCCAGAGCACCGAGTGCCACCTCCAGGGATGGGCTCTCCAACCCTCCCTGGGCAGTTCCAGTGCCTGAGCCTCCTTTCCATGGGGAAATTCCTGCTGTGCCCACCCTGAGCCTGCCCTGCGCCCCCTTTCCACGGGGAAATTCCTGCTGATGTCCACTCTGTGCCCAGCCTGAGGCTGTTCCCTCTCATCCTGTCCCTGTCCCCTCCTGTCAGGAGCTGTGCAGAGCCACAAGAGCCCCCTGAGCCTCCTTTTCTCCAGGCTGAGCCCCTTCCCAGCTCCCTCAGGAATTCTCCAGCCCCTTCCCAGCTCCCTCAGCCCCTCCTGGTGCTCCAGACCCTTCCCCAGCCCAGGGAATCAGGTGGAGGAGACAGAATTTGGCAGAAAACCCTCCCCATCAGTTCATTGATCTCTGCAGAAATGCAAGAGCAAATCCCTCTCCGGCTGGGTGCTGCTGATCCACAGAAGGATTAGAGTTGATCTTCCCTTGGAAAGGGAAGGAGGAAGAGAGCTCCAGGCTGAGTGTGGCCTGTTAAATGACATTTTATGGCCTGCTATTTCTCACCTAAACACAAGTGTGATCAAAGGACTCGAGATAAACAATGATTTAATGGCTCCAAGTGTAGGAGCTGGAGAGGTTTTGCAAAGGCCTTGTGTACACAGGAATAAACACTTCATTGCAACCTCAGCTGTTTGCTTTCCATGAATCCCCACTGCCAGGGCACTCAGAGCACACAAACACTTCCCTCGGCTCCTTCCATTTCCTACACTTTGGGCCATTTTGGTGCCTGTTTGTTTGCAATCAGTGAGCCCACTCTCAGGAGTGGCTGGCACTGAGGGCACCCCCAGCTCCTCCAGGACATCCTGGAGCTCCAGGGATGGGGCTTTGGGTCCCTCTCTCTCCCTCCATGACTTTTGCTCCTGTTTCTTGGATGGGGAGAGGAGATTGAGGACCCTCCCTGCCTCCTCCTGCCCGTGCCCAGCACCAGGAGCCAAACCCATCCCAGCTCCATGGAAAGAAGGAGCCAGCACAGCAAACTCCAGGATTTGGGACTCCCCAAACACACAATTCCCTGTCAGGGGTGTGGATGGAGGCCAGCTGTCAGCACCCTGTGCCTCTATACCAGGGTTTTGGGTTAAAATTTGGGATTTTGCCTCTGCTTCCAAACAAACACAACCAACCCAAACCGATGTGATTCCTCGTTCCCTCGCCTCGCTGCTCATTCCTCAAAGTCAAGATGAGATTAATGAGCTGCACACAGAGCCTGCTGGAGGGCTCTGCACTTTTCAAGCCACAAAAACACCTTCAGCAGCAAAGTGAGAAAAGTAAAGCTGATAAAGCCAAGTTTGGGAGCAATTAACATCAATCTAAAATTCAGCGGCTTTGGGGGCTCAGCTTAAAAATAAAAAGCAATTACTGCTGTGGCAAACTGAAATAATACCTTGTTTTTGCAAAGGGAGTCTGCCTTCACCAGCAGCTGGAATTAAAGGGGCTTTGTAAAAGCTATTTACCAGCATTAAAGGTGCTGGGGAATTTTTTTTCACCTGTTTATCCAGACTGTAACAACCTGAGGAAACAAGAACTCTACTGAAGCATTCAGGACAATATCCCAAAACCTGCCTGGAGCACAACTGTGGGATCAATATTTCCATATTTCCCACGTGTGGGAAAAGCTAGTGTCCATAAAGGAGAAAGAGGAGTCTGCAGCTTGATTAGAATAAAAGGAGAGTTTCCACTGGGGAATCTCAAATTTCCTGGCTGCCTGTAGCCCTCTTCCTTTCCCCACAGGTTTGTGCTGAGCCTTTATCTATGACCCTAAAATTCAGGAGTCAAACTTTTCTGGGTCTGTAACAGCCTTGCCCTTGAGGCTGCTGGAGACATCAGAGCCATTTCAAAGCCATTAATTAATTAACACCCCTGGAATTGTTTGTGAAGCCATTAGCACACATCTTCCCCTATCAGCATTAAGGAGATTTTCAAAGGGAAACTTCAGCCAGCCCAGGAAAATCAGGTGCCAGCTTGGAGCAAAGCTCAGATTCTCAGTTAAATGCCATTTCCTAAATTGTTGCAGTGGGTAAAGAGGAAATAAAAGGGAAGAAAGGTGAGGGGGGACAAGGGGGAGGGGAAAAAAGGCAGGGAAAAAGGTGGACGGAAAAGGATGGGAAAAAGGAGGGGGGGAAAAGGCAGAGAAAAAAGCAGGCTAAAGAAAAAACGTGGGGAGAAAAGGAAGGAAAAATCAGACAGGAAAAACCATGTGGGGGGAAAACGGCAGGAAAAAAAAGTTGGGAAAAAAGGAGTGGGAAAAAGAAGGTGGGTGGAGGTGAAAGGAGGAGAAGGAGCAGAGGGGAAAGGGCAGGACAAAAAGGCAGAAAAATGCAGGGCAAAACTGCCATGCAGAACTGGTGTAGATAAGGGTCACCTGTACTCCAAAAATACAAGAGAATGAGATTTAGCTGCCATGACATAAGGAGGGGCTGTCAGGCCACCAGAGGCTCTGCTTCATTCCTGGCACCTGGGAATGCTCTGCAGGGGGATGATGGAGCCTCACCAAAGTCTGGGGAGGTTTTCATAGTCCCAAACATGGCACAATTGTGATTTACACTGGTCAGAGCCCAAGCCAGGCAGAGTTTGGCCTCTCTGGATTGCTGTGACCAAACTGAGGTTTTCATTTCAAACCCCTTGACAGGATCTCATTAACCTACTGCCTGTAATAAATGTACCCAATAACAATCTCTGAGCCACGTGAAGTTAAAAAATCCAATAAAACATAAATAGGGAATACTCGTGGGTCATTTATTTTTCTACTCTGGAATTAGAGAAAATGAGGTCTGCCACCTCCCTCGAGCTGTGATGAATGCAAGCTCCAAACTGAACTGTCAAAAATTTCCAGGAATGTCTCTCCAACATCACACTGCAACCTTTTCAAAATTCATAACATTTTCTACTGAAAAGAAATCCTTGACTTGTCTGGGCCACGTTTGACACTTCTCAAACACCAGGGTGATGTCACATTCTCAGAGGAGCTCCAGGAAACCCCAAACCAGGCCCTGCTGCATGAGCAGAGAGATTTATCTGCAGGCGGGGAGGAAACGCTCCCCTGCAGCCCTGCAGGTGCATTTTGATGCATACCTCACATTCACATCCAGCTCTTCCATCACAGGCAGCAGGCTCAGGCAGCTGAGAGTTCAATGTCCATAGGAGAGACCTCATCCTGCAGGGGAGAAACACAGGGATTAGTTCCAGGATCTCCCATAAATGCAGATTTCCCCCATTGGAGACACCCACTGCAGGATCCAGGTGCCCTCGCTGTTTTGGCCCCCTGGCACCCTCCAGCCCATGTTCAGCTGCTTTACACCAGCAATTCCAGCTCTTTTCCCATCAGGCACCTTTCCAGCTCTCCCCCCATCCTACCTGTGCCCATCCCAAACCACCTGCACACCTGCAAGACTCCCCCAGCAAATTCCCAACTTCCAAAGGTACAAAAAGGAGCTTGAATAGAGCCAAGCTGTGGAAAGTTTGCAAAGCCCAGGTGGGAAAACACAAGCAAGAAGGCTTGGTAAATTAGTTTCTGTTTTTACACAGACCTAAAACATTGACTTACCACTAAATTAAACCAGGTTTCCTGTGACACTCTATTGTGCAGCCTTATGAATACTTAATAGCAGTGCTGTAATTACAAAGAACCAAATGCTTTGCAGCTTGAGTTAAAATAAATGTACTTACTCCCAGCACCACTAAGTGATGTAAATATTAATGGGGTTTTTAACTCTATCAAAATTCCATCCTGACTCCAAAGAAATGAATGCACCATCTTAATAATGTGCTTGTGCATTTGCTGCTGCTAATCCAGTGGAAAAAATAGGCTCAGTTTCGGAGCACTCGAGGCTGTTGATTACCCCTTGTGCTGTCTCCAGGGAGCCAGGGATAAAGGCACCACCACAGCCTGTCAGTGCCAGCCCAGATGCAGATAATGCCGCTGTGGTTACTTGGCTTCAAAGGGAAATCAGAATAAAAGTGCCTCAGCCTTCCCAGACACCGATGGCAGCTTTGCAATGCAGATGAGCCCCCCCGCTCTGCAGACCTGGCTGGTGCTTGCCACAGGAGTAATTCAGGATTACTGTGTGTATTAGGCAGCACTTTGCAAGGGAAATTTTCTGGAGTCAAAAGGATATTTTTGTTAAAAAAGGGAGAGTTTGGCTGGCCCCTGTTTGCAGCTTAAAGCTTCAGCTTGTGGCTCTTTGGGCAATCTGCTGATTCCAAAACTGCTGCCGTGTTTTGCAAAGAAAAGGATGAGAGGTCTAGAGGTTCACCTCTGTGTCCCTAAGGCCTGACCTCCAACCTGAATTTGGAGGAAAAACCCCAAAATCCACTCTCCTGTGCTCCTGCTCTGGAGTTCTTCCCTAGGACAAAATACGTGGTACGGTATCACTCTTTATATACCAGCATAAAATTAATTCTGATTTCTCCTGCAAAACAGATGAAAAACTTTTCAGTGATTTTGTATGCAAAAATTCCAGTTAGGGGGCATCTTTCTTCCTTTGTTCTTCTGGAAAAAATATAATTTTAGTGTGCACTGATGTTACACAATATCTGTACCATCATGGAGACTTCTACAATAATTGCAACTTTCTATATACGAGTGAAATAAAACCCCCAAACTAACCCCCCAAAAAATGTCTAAAATGGAAAAAAAAAATCTTCACAAACAAAACCCCCCAAAAACCAAAGGCAATCTAGGAGCCAGCCCGGAAAGGCTGCACTGGTGGCCCTGGGGAATGCAGGGGTGCTCCAGGGGTGCTCCAGATGCCAGGCTGAGCTCAGCTCACCTGGCACACCACTGTCATGGACATATTTTATGAAAAATCCTTTTGCTAGGAATTTTTTTCTCCTGAGAAGCCTCAGAGGAAAATAAAAATAATAATTGTCTGCTGCCGTGGAATGCAACAGGTGCATCTTTGGTTGGTCCGTGTGATTGTTTTTAATTAATGGCCAATCACAGTCCAGCTGTCTCGGACTCTCTGGGAGTCATGAGCTGCTGTTATCATTCTATTCCTTTCCTTTGAAGCCTTCTGATGAAATCCTTTCGTCTATTCTTTTAGTATAGTTTTAATATATAATTTTCTTTTAATATAATAAATATCATAAAATAATAATATATAATTTTCTTTTAATATAATATATATGATATAATAATAAATCAATCTTCTGAAACATGGAGTCAGATTCTCATCTCTTCCCTCATCCTGGGACCCCTGTGAACACCACCACACTGAGCACTGTCCCCTTGGTCTGCCTCTGCCCCTTCTCCTCCTCCTCTCCTCAGGGAAATGGGAAAACCCAATAAATGGATAAAATGGATAAAGCCCATCCATGGATAAATGGATGGATCTATTCCTGGATTTAAGGCATTAACAGAGATTTCACCTGTCACAGCCACGGGGGGTTGGCTGGTGGCCCACAGGTGACCGCAAGGCCCCACAGACTCACCTGCCCTGCCCAGGGGAGGGGGAAATGTCCCCCCAGATGGCAGCAATGGCCACAGCACATCCCTGCCAGCAGCAGCTCACTGACACACTGCCATTCTCCATCCCTGAGCCCAGCAGCTCCTCCCTGTCACTGCTCAGTGCTGACAGCAGAGTTGAGTCACGCAGAGCTGCCACCCCCATTTCCTGCAGTGCTGGCTGGGGAGATGCTCCAGCCTGGGGTGCTGTTCACAGGGGTCCCAGGAGCAGGGAGAGATGAGAATCTTCACTCCATTTCAGAAGGCTGATTTGTTATTTTATGATATATATTGCATTAAAAGAAAATGATGTATTAAAACTACACTAAAAGAAAAGAGAAAGGAAACATCAGAAGGCTAGCAAATAATAAATAAGTCTTCTGAGACTCCATGTTTCAGAAGGCTTATTTATTATTTTATCATATATATTATAGTAAAAGAAAATTATATATTAATTTTCTTTTACTATAATATATAGGATAAAATAATAATATAAATAAAATATATATTTAAAAAATATATATTAAAACTATACTAAAAGAAAAGAGAAAGGAGACATCAGAAGGCTTGCAAAGGAAAGGAATGGAATGATAATAAAATCTTGTGGCTGCTCACAGCCTCGACACAGGTGGGGCTGTCATTGGTCATCAAGTAAAAACAATTCACATGCTGGGTAAACAATTCTACAGATCACATTCCAAAGCAGCAGAACATGGAGAAGCTGAAGCTTCTCAGGAGAAAAGATCCTGGCAAAAGGATTTTTCATAAAATATGTCAGCGACACACCACGGTGCCAGGTGGGCTGAGTACTCTGCAAAAGCCATTTCCCTGCAGAGAGACACACACTGGCCCTCCTGCTCTGGCAGGGATGGGGTTGAACCAAACCAGCAACAGAGACAGGCTGCAGAGGCAGGAATTGCTCCAGGAAAACATGAACGCAACCAGGAATAGGGACAGGCTGCAGAGGCAGGAATTGCTCCAGGAAAGCCTCACAGGGCAGCAGGGACATGGAGCACAACGAGCACATGAAGAGCAGCTGGCAGCTTTTCCAAGACTCACTAACCAAGGAACAAAGCAAGTGAGGATCTCACACACACCTTTCCCATTGAGTGCAGTTTGACTTCCAGCCAAACGCTTTTTTCCTTAAATACAACAAGGTTCCTTACCTGAGACTGAGAGATTCCTCCTTAGGCAAGGCTGACACCCTGTATTCATCACAGACCCTCAGTTCCTGAATTAATTCTGATTAAATCCATGCAGCCAACTCCATCAGACACAAATTGTGCACAGGAGGCTCAGACTGGACCCAGCTGCACCCAAACTCCATCAGGAGTTCAAAGGGCTCCTCTGAGTCTCACAACTCACTGGGGGGGGATCTCCCTGACCCTTTTCAGTCTCTGGTCACTGTGGAAATCATTTCTAAATCATTCTAGATCAATTTTAACTCTCTGTTCCTTTGTATTTCTCCTCCCTGTAGTAAGGAGCAGAGTGAGCCTTGCCATTGAACCTTTTTAATTCACACTTTTACCACATCCTACCAAAACCCCTCTGCCAATACCTTTGGACATAACTGAGTGAACAAAATTACCCATTTGTGACACTTTCTGCTGCACCACAGAGCAGGAAGGGGGAGGTAAAAATAAATGAAACTAAAACGAGACTAAAAATACTAAAATAACTAAAAAACCCCAAAACTAAATAATAAATAATAAAAAACTAAAAATACTAAAATTAAATTAAATTCAGTTTCTGCATCTCATGCTCTCAGTGAAGAACTGGACTTATCACTGAGTGACTTTGTTCTTCTCTTTGTAAGTGTAAGATAAAAAATCCTCTTTATAATAATGCTTTGCCAGCTTTCTGATGGCTGATTTCAGTGCAGTTTTCTGGCAGACACACGTTTTTTATGGGGTAACACAGAGCAGATGTTTAGGAACTCTCTAGCCTTCCCCTGGAATTTGCTGTCCCCCACAGCTCATGCAGGAGTTCTTGGGCGTGCATTTAAGTCCCATCCAGGGTGGGATTCCTGATTGAGGCCAGCAGAGCCACTCTGACATAAATAAAGACTGCATTTACCATTAAACCCACGATTTCAAGAAGCTCCTCACTTTCTGTGGTGAACAGCTGCTAAATTGAAGCTGGGATTCAATAAAAAAAGAGCTGTTGCTCGATTCCCCACACATTTCACTTTTGGGTGGTGATTTTCCTCAAAGCCCCATCATTATCAGAGAAAAAGAAGTTGTTAGCAGAGGTTAACTGGACCAGATCTCCCCAGCCCACACTAAACTGCTATTTCTGAAGTGAGAGTCACCTCAATCCAAAGACAATTTCTTGCTCATCACTGCAGAGAAGTCCAAAACCCTCCAAGTGCTGTAGGAGAATATCTTGCCCATGACAGCGCTTGAGGAACAGGAAACATCAAAGTGATTCACCTTGTTCTCTCCCAGATACAAATGGGTTTATTTCCCTCAATTTCTGCCCTGTCCCACAGCACCTCTTGCCTTCCCTGCCTCTGCTGTCTCTTCTGTCCCCAGGGAGGACAGAGCTGATAAGGAGCCCCTCAGCTGTCAGCAGAGACAGATTGCTGGGCAGGTTTAATCCAGCCTCATTCCAGCAGGGCAAAATGGAGCACTTTGCTTAAATACTGACATTAACAGAGATGTCACACATCCCCAAAAATGAAATGGAGTCCAGCTTGAAATGCAGAGCGC